TGCTGGGATTAAAGGCGTGCGCCACCACTGCCTGGCTACTTAGGACTTCTTGAAAGAGGTGACACTCTTGCTTTTGTTCATTCTCATGCCTCCTCGACCTTCCTTCTGATCCACTGGAGCAGTTTCTACCCTAGATTCAAGAGCCTGTCTTCATATTCTAAGTATTGTCCTCTAACCCTCTTCACACACACCCTTCACACAGCTGCCATTCTTTACAGTTCTGCTCATCTTAACACACTATAAACCCCTTCAATGAACCAAGTCTGGAGTTTAGGATCTAGGGGCTGGGGAGATGGCTTACTGGATCAAGGCACATTATCACCAAACTTGATGGTCTGATTTGATTCCCAGGATCCATGTGGTGAAAGGAGAGAGGCCAACTCCCACATGTGGTCTCTGACCTCCATACACAGCAGAGCCCCTTTTTCCAAACAAATACACAAACATGCAGTGGAGACAAACAGGGTGAGCACACACTGTCAGCAAACAGAAAGAAAGAGAACTACAATTTGATCAGAGAATCCAGAGGTTCAGCTTAAGAGTTCTGATATTGAAAGCTTCTCTACACATATAAAAACAACAGTCTCAATTTTGTTTATCTCAAGGGCTGTTGTAACAGATATTCAAGTGTTTACCTTGTTGTAAAGGGACATACCAATGTGTCATCACATAACAACTACACAGTCAAATCACGGAAGGAAGGAAGGAAGGAAGGAAGCACCTGAGACTATAGGAAGCCTGATACTATCTATCGCTTTCCACTGTCTGAGATGCCTTACAAGGCCCACAGTGAGACAGCAAACATGTTGGCAGATGGACTTCTCTCACACAGTACGAGACAGTGGTGGGTTCTTACAGGAAAGCACACTTTGGGGCAAGAGAAACAAGCTAAGCCATCTTCAGGCAAGACACAACGGGCTCAAGTCCGAGGCCGATGCAGTCCACATCTTCCAAACCTTACCTCTTTTCTGAATACTTCTTTGCTTTTCTTTGCTAGCTCACTGGAGGTGTCTGCTTCTGCAGTCTTGGGCTTTTTTGATGTCTAGAAAAGAGAAACACAGTATAGAAACACAACATGAGATGCCAGTTTGGTCATGCCTGTTCCGGAACTCTCACCTGACTAAAGAACTAAAGTTTCAAGTTCAGCCCCTGACTCTGGCCTCCATAAGCCTGACTCCGCCCTCTAAAGTCCTAGCTGCCTCTTTCATGCAGCAGCTGCACACTGAGCTGTCTCATGGGCAGGTACCTCTCTGTGGAGGATGTGCAGCATCTGGATTCAAATAACTGAACCTTCCTAGGCTCTGACATGTTAGCATTTCAGAACAAAGTTTAGTGCTCTGCTCTGAAGAGTCTTTGTACTTATTATCACTTTTCCTCCCTAAGTGGGGCTGCCTAGACTACATAGGGCAGTCTCAACACTTGAGAGAAACTCCTTGAAGCTTGGTGCATCTAGTTCAGGAGTGTAAAGAATTAGAGAGCACACCTGTAATCACAGTACCTGGAGAAGTGGAGGCAGGAGGATTAGGAGTTTAAAGCCAGCCTTTAAACACAAACTTATTTAGCAAATTTGAGGCCAACCTAAGCTCCATGAGACTCTGTCTCAAAAAAGCCCCAAACTAACAAACATTCCAAGGAGTTATAACTCTGGTGAACATGGGATGAGTGTCAGTCATGTTGGTGAACAGGTGAGTAGATGCCAAGACCACTAATATTTTTTTTTTCCCAAAATGGCAAGATGATGGTAAATCCAGAAATACACCTTTCTAGCATTCTCAAAAGAGAGGCTACCAAATTCCCCCTTCCCAAGCAACACCAAGAGATGATGAACCATCAGCTCGGCATACAAGCCATGCCCACGCAGCTAGAAGGCCCTTCCAATGGAAAAAATAATTATCAACATTACACTTGGAATACAAACTTTCATGCTCTACAAATATCAGCTGGTGCAACAAGTTTAATTTTAAAAAGGATTTATTTATTTGTGTATGAGTGTATGTATATGGGTACCACACACATGCCTGGGGTCCCCTGGAGCTGGAGTTATATGTGAGCGCTCTGCCAAGTAATCTTAACCACTCAGTCACCTTTCTAGCACACATACCCCCCTTTTGGGGTGTTTTTCAAGACAGGGTTTCTCTGTGTAGCTTTGGAGTCTGTCCTGGAACTTGCTCTGTAGCCCAGGCTGGCCTCAAACCCACAGAGATCTTCCTGCCTCTGCCTCCTAAGTGCTGGGATTAAAGGCGTATGCCACCACCGCCACCACCACCACCACCACCTGCCTTTTTCCCCCTAGCCCCTAGTCTTATCTTTCTTTAATTATGTTTATTCATGTGTGTCTCTGTGTGGATATGTACACACGAGTGTGGGTGCCCAGAGGCACCAGCTCCCTTGGAGCTGGAGTTACAGGTGGTCACCTCTCATGCTGCTGGAAACTGAACTTAGGCCCTCAAAAGAAAAGTATGTGCTCTTGACTGCTGAGTCTTCTCTCTAGTCTTGATCATGTTTGTACTGGGGGCTTAGAAGAATGCAATCTTTGATCCTTTACCCATGCTCTAGCTCTGTTTCCTCAATTTCCACAAACAGCACAAAGATTCTGCTGCTGAAGAAGCTGTACAAGTCCCTCTACTTGCTTTGGAGAAAGGTAGCTTTTGAGCTGCCCAAAGCCTTGTTAGAAAGGCTATACACGGCCAGGTGCGGTGGTGCACGCCTTTAGTCCCAGCACTCAGGAGGCAAAGGCAGGTGGATCTCTGTGAGTTCGAGGCCAGCCTGGTCTCCAAAGCGAGTTCCAGGACAGCCAGGATTACATGGAGAAACCCTGTCTCAAAAAACAAACAGAAAGCTTTACATATTTACTGTTTCTCTACATTTTTCCTATGGCTGTTGGGGTAGAAGTGGGGGCTGGAGGATGGAATAGATACCCTTTCTGTTTTTAGGGAAAGAGTGAAACAAAACCTGAAAGAAACTCTAAATATTTTGATTTTTTTTTTTAAAAAAAACAGGGTCAAAAACTTGCAATTCCTTCTGCCTCAGGCTCCTGAGCACTGAGATTGTAAGAGCGCATATATGGCTTGCTTTGAAACTGACTAAATTTCGCCTCCCCCGCCCCCCGTGAGTGTACATCCCACAGTAAGAATACAGATATCCAGAGATCCAAAATTATCTGGATATCTGAGCATGGTGGTTCACACCTGTAATCCTAGCTGAGAAGCTGAGGCGGGGGGATAGCTCCAACTTTAGGTCAGCCTCGGTATGCAGTAAGTTTTAGTACAGCTTAGAGAACAGAGTGAGACTATCTTTTAAGACAAAACAAATTATATTTAAATAAGGCAAGGAGAAAACACATCCCTCAAATATTCTCTTCTAGTGGAAGAGGCAGAGCTGGTGAGGGTCCTGCTTCCCTTTAAATCAGTGATTCTCAACCTGTGAGGGAGGGGTCAAATGGCCCTTTCACAGGGGTTGCCTAAGGTCACTGAAAAACACAGGTGTGTACATTATGATTCCTAACAGTACCAAATTACAGTTATGAATTAGCAACGAAAATAATTTTATGTTTGGGGGGTCACTACAACATGAGGAAGTGTTGAAGGGTCACAGCATTAGGAAGGTTGAGAATCACTAATCCAAAAAGAATGTATTTTCAGAAAGCTAAATAAATCTGGGACTAGGTTTGTAGCTCAGTTGGTAGAGTGCTTGCCTAGCATGAAGGAAGCCCTGGGTTTGATGCCTAGCACTGTATAAACTTGGCATGGTGATGCACGCCTGTGACCCCAGCACTTGGGAGACAGAGGCAAGAAAATCAGCAGTTCAAGGTGTCCATGTAAGACTGTCTATATTTTTTTTTTTTAAAAAAAAAGGAAAGGAAAGGAAAAGAAAAGAGGGGCCGGGACGATGGCTCAGCAGTTAAGAGCACTGATTGCTCTTCCAGAGGACCCCAGTTTAATAATTCCCAGCACCCACACAGCAGCTCCCAAACATTTGTAACTCCAGTTCAAGGCCCTCTTCTGGCCTGCATGGGCACTAGGCACACAAGTGGTATACAGACATACATGCAGACAAAACACCCGTACACATAAAATAAATTAAAAAAAAAAGAAAGAAAGCTAAAAAAATCCAATGCATATTTAGCAACATTCTAATTCAATCCTGACTTGGCAAGACTGAGGGAGCTTTTAGAAACAGTCATTGCAGCTCAGTGTACTGAACTCAGTCAAGGAGGGCTTTTGATGCAGCTTTGAGCAACTGGGACTGAGAAAGAAGTGTTCAAATGAAGGATGATAGACTTGTACAGTATAATAAATCATGACACAAAAATAAGAATTCTTGGGAGAAGTGAAATTTTCTTAGGTTTTTTTGTTTTTGAGACAAGGTTTTCTCTGTGCAGCCCTAGCCGTCCTCAGACCCACAGAGATCCACTTGCCTCTCTCTCCTGAGTGCTGAGGTGTGCGCCACCACCGCCCGCACAGCATGAAATTAATTTTGAGTCGGTGTGGCATGGGACTCAGGCACTAACATGTACTCAAGCCCAATACCAGGCAAAGGAGCAAACTGGAGCCAAAGACAGCACTTGCTAGTGACGTGAAAAGTTTTGGGATCCCTCAACTCCCCAAGAGTTCCACTTGATATTTTAGCATTTCTAACAATAGGCTCCTATTGCCTATGAACAATTCGTTAACACCAGAAAAGACATTAGACTGGATCAACTGGCCCTCAACTTCTGGTAGGCCAGAGAATGTACCTGTAGAGAAAAGCCTCACTGAAATCTGAGGAAACCACTGGAGGGGGTGACAACTCACACATAAAAAAGCCAAGTCTTCCCAGGTCCTCAGCAAACTATCAGTTTGCTTTTTCTTTAACTTGGGTCATAGGATGTTTCAGTCAATGGAAAATTTTGGTGGGAGCCTAAGGAAGCAACAGTCAGACGAATACACAGAAAAGGAGCAGGCAGAAGGGCTTGGAAGAAAGTCAGAGCTCACTGCTTTAGAAGCTGATCTTGCGGTTAGCCTTTGTTTATAGCACATTTGACTTCCCGGATAATCTTGTTTGGAAATGACAAGAGAAATCTCGGCACCTTCATGCTACTAGGGCTTTGAGTTCATCCGTATTCAGTGGCAGATGGTCATTAAGCTTACTGTGTGGCTCTGGCACTCACAAAGAACACAAATGATACAACAAAAGCCAACTCCATTCTTTATTAGGCATACAGACGCAATCAGGTCAAAAAAAACCCTCTGCCTTTGAAAGAGGGAAGAGGGCTTAAGTTATGGAGATGAGCTCTGAAAAGGAGACAGTGAAATATTACCCAGCTACTATATTTTCCCTCCTGAATTTAATTAAATCCTCTTTAGACTGTGAAATGTAAAAGATGACTCCATGAGGAACTATATGTTTGGGAGCAGTGGAATCTAGAAGTAGAAGCTGGGGTGTCAGAAACATACATTCAGTTCAGTCAACCTAAGCTTTCCAATCCAAGTGTGGCTGCACATTAAGTATGAAGTTAAGAAAGAAGGTCCCTGGAGACACAGAAACTCACCATACTGTTCTGGAGTTGCTTCTACTCTTAGAAACACAAAAACAACACTTCACTGGGTGCTTCTAGATAAAGGCTGCAGTTCCCTCTTAATTTGTAACAACAAACAACAAAAACCAAGGGGAGGAAATGGGAAGAGGGAGGAATGGGAGGAGGGAGAAAAGGGAGGAGGGAGGAATGGGAGGAGGGAGGAATGGGAGGAAGGAGAAAAGGGAGGAAGGGGGAATGGGAGGAAGGAGAAAAGGGAGGAGGGAGGAAAGGGAGGAGGGAGAAAAGGGAGGAGGGAGGAAAGGGAGGAGGGAGAAAAGGGAGGAGGGAGGAATGGGAGGAGGGAGAAAAGGGAGGAAGGGGGAATGGGAGGAAGGAGAAAAGGGAGGAGGGAGAAAAGGGAGGAGGGAGGAATGGGAGGAGGGAGAAAAGGGAGGAAGGAGAAAAGGGAGGAAGGAGAAAAGGGAGGAAGGAGAAAAGGGAGGAAGGAGAAAAGGGAGGAAGGAGAAAAGGGAGGAGGGAGGAAT